AGATTGATTACTCCTGTGAGTTTCATGACAACAGGCCTATCGGTTTTCCTTGAAATGTGTTAACAGTATTGCATATATGCTGAAAAGTGAAAAACAGCATAAATTCTACAATAATGGCCCGATCATGCTGATTTTCGAACTTGAGCTGCGTTTTATGAATATTCGTCAGCTCTGTAAATATAAAGTCAAAAAGTAAAACTGCCCTCCACTTATCGTGTTAACAAGGAAAGTGCACAGCGCCGGCATCGGCATCGGCGACGGCATCGGCGACGACAGACGCAGGTGATGGCAATATGTACAGACACACCTGGGTCTGTACATAAAAACAGCACTTGACTAAAAACCTTGCACATAGACTGAAACAGGATAACCTAAATGATCAGGTACAAACAAAATTGTGGAAATGTGAGCTTTTGAACAATGTATGCAATATTTACATACCTTTCTTTGTCTCGTCAGTGCAGAAAAATGTCTTTCGTGAGACTTTGTTAACGGTAGTCTACAATGAATATGGCATGTCACTGCAGCAACCCTTGGGGCCAATGGTCTGGCCAAAGTTAATGTTGTTGGAGTGACCACGCGAAGTCGCCGAAAGAGAGCCGCCATCTTGTCTGTTTGTATCCCAGAATGCCGTTTTGATAATCAGCAAAAGAAACGCGGTCAACAAGTAGCATGAGGCATACGTACACATGAAATCGCCATTTCTCCTCTTGGAATTGTTTTTCTGATATGCCATTTCTTCGAAATATTGCAGTCGCCTATTAATGTTTTCCAATTTGAAGTAATATCAAAGGGAAAACGATTTCTGTAGTTTGGATAAGTATTAATCATCCCCTGTAAAAAGTGCTGGTATTTGAAAACTTGATCTTAATTTTACCACTTAAAATGACATAAAACCGTGGCAAATTCCAACTGGAATAGATAGTAGGTATATGGTATGGGACGTATGCCACCCACATTATCCAAATATATACAGAACAAATTTAAAATGCCGTAGTTTCAGTGAAAAAAAAAAGAAAAACTTTTCCCGTTTGTCACAGTGACCTGTAAAACTTTGAAGGAAATTGGAAAAATACTTAATTCTCATCACTTATAGGTGGCTGTATGTGTAAATCAAGGTAAATTTTAATTTAGCATATCCTGAGTAATAAACATTCAGGGCGATAGCCATGCAGAGGCATTATTTCTAACCAGTTTTTAAGTAACTGCCTTTTGAAATAAAATGTTACCGTGTCTGTGCAGATTTCCAAAGAAAATCGAAGAGTAATGCATTAAAGGCTGTGCAAAATATAAAATTTCAACTTTCCAAAATACATCCTCATTTACTTCTGCAGAGGTAGAAGGCTATTATTGATAGGATACATGTATCATGTATTTTCAAAATGGCCTGCTTTTTACTTATGATCTATATCTCTGATAATATGCCATTGTAATATGAAGATTAAAATAATAAGCATAAGCAATGGACCTTACTGCAATGTTTCTCATCACTTTGACTTTTGAAAACTATTGATTTCAATGTCTTAATTTTATTCTGTAATTTTCATACACACAGAAAAAACATAGACTAAACTTATAATAACACAGCTTCATGCTTATTTTATTTGCAACAAGTACATAGTTATTTACAACAGAAGCAATTTGAAGTTGACATCTTCAGCAATAAGATGGCAGCGACATTTTGTAGTTCCAATTGTTAACCAACATCACAAAGGGGGCTGAATTCCCAAGTTGAAAGTCTATTGAGTAGATAGATAAGTCTTGAGATCTGCTTTTTTTTGCACGTAAGGCCACACTTTTTTATTTTTATGGATGACATCCTGCGCGCGCACCGATTTTCGTCCGTTCTCAAAAAAAAAAAAAAAAAATCCCCAAATTGCCTTTTCGTCTAGCAATGATCGCGAACGATCTCCCGCTGACGATCTTCCNAATTACATTGAAAAGACTGGGAAATTGCAGGACTTGAAATAGTTAAACGCTAATAATTTTGTCAAATCTGGTCCAATATTTCTGAAATTTGTACAAATGATGCTTAGGCCACACTTTTTTAATTTTATGGATGACATCCTGCGCGCGCACCGATTTTCGTCCGCTTTCAAAAAAAAAAAAAAAAAAAAAAAAAAAAAAAAAAAAAAAAAAAAAAAAAACCCTCCCCCCCCCCATCGAAGTCGGTTGTCGCAAACGTCAAAATTGAATTTGCCGGAAGATGTGCTTTTTGCGCATGCGTATTACTGCCACGTGGAAATATGGCCGCTTTGCCATCAAATTCATCTCTAGGATTACTTTCAAATTACAGGACAATTAATTATATAAAGTCATAAAGAGAACGGGGCCATCGTTTTGGATTGTTATGCCATTGATATTGGTCATGGAGATATCCACTTTTTTACTATTATGCGAAAGGCTGGCGGCCGCCAGCAATTATCGCCCGGAAAATTTCAGTGATATTCTGTCCAAAGCAACACATACCAGGTTTTTTTTTGTAGCGAAAAAAAGGGTCGACAGGGTGTCGAGGTATTCGGTGGGCTGTAGGTCGGTCAGGCCCGGACAGTTTGGCTGCTTCATGTGAGACGAAGTAGACAAAATGGCATCGACCGAAATGACCTTTTATAGAATTGGTAGTATTAAGCATATCATTTTTTAACATTTCTGTGTTTCCACGAAGTATTCACAATGCTTTAATATTTTGAGAGCATGGATAAAGACATATTGTTAGTTTGATACATGTTTCTGTGGTAAATTTGTGTTTCCAGCTGTGTACTGACAGCATTCCTTTACTTAAGCAGCATTTTTGTTTTTTTTTGGGACTGTTTTTTTTTTTTTTCGCCCTCTCGCACCGATTGCGGGGTCCCCAGAGGATGTCATCCATAAAAATAAAAAAGTGTGGCCTAAACAACAAAAAGTGTACTCATAACTACTGTGTGCACAGAGTAACTAAATACCTCAGCTTTCTTTATCTAAAATGTTCCCATCAAAAATGTCCCAGGTGCTTAGCTATTGAATGTTCTGGTAGTATAGTAGTGTGCATCAGAAGTTAGTTGATAATACTGCCTGGAATAATACCCTCTCCAATTCGCAGAAGTGCAGTTTAATCTTAACAGTAGTTTAAAATGTTCATTCTGTTCATGTCATTTACTGCACGCAGACTCCTGTTTACAGGCACATTCCTGTCTTTTGTTGGTTTGTGATAATTTACCTGTGATAAAAAAAAAGAACTCCATGAGGAAATAAAAGATCTGGACATTTGTTTTATTTTGAATTTTCCAATGCTCTTTTCCCAATAGCAATATCACATCAATATGGCGCTATACTGGTGACAAATACTGTAAAAGCCAGAATGACAAGAAAATAAATTTTTCTGGAGAATCCTACAATCTAAATTACTTTGTAATTCTCAATTACCCAATTTTTCAAAGGCCTTAGTCTTTACCTACTGATTTTCCTGCAACACTAGGCTTTGGACATTTGATCTAGTATGTACAATACAACATCTCTAGGGCGTAATAATCTCTCAGCATCCTGGTCTGGGATATCTATACCTGAAAATGACATACAAAATTTTATTTAGACCCTGAAGTCTACAAAATCTACTTTTACTTTGACTATCATGTCGGCTACAAGTTGTTTCATCTAGATATAGTGTATAATATCCCTTCAGTTCTCATAAAGTTATGCGTCACCGATGAAAAAAAAATGATTACAAGCCCCAAAAATTGTTACTTCCAAACTTTTAAACATTTTAATATCATTAATATTGTGAATTTAAAAAATCTGGTGTGACAAATGTGAGGTAGCAGACTGTGATTTTCAATTTTCCTTACCAAATTCCTCCGACATTGCCATCAATATCTCAATATGATCTAAGCTGTCCAAACCCAGATCACTTGCAAAATTTGACTCTAATGTAAGCTGAAGAANCGGCATCGGCGACGGCATCGGCGACGACAGACGCAGGTGATGGCAATATGTACAGACACACCTGGGTCTGTACATAAAAACAGCACTTGACTAAAATCCTAAATGATCAGGTACAAACAAAAATGTGGAAATGTGAGCTTTTCAACAATGTATGCAATATTTACATACCTTTCTTTGTCTCGTCAGTGCAGAAAAATGTCTTTCGTGAGACTTTGTTAACGGTAGTCTACAATGAATATGGCATGTCACTGCAGCAACCCTTGGGGCCAATGGTCTGGCCAAAGTTAATGTTGTTGGAGTGACCACGCGAAGTCGCCGAAAGAGAGCCGCCATCTTGTCTGTTTGTATCCCAGAATGCCGTTTTGATAATCAGCAAAAGAAACGCGGTCAACAAGTAGCATGAGGCATACGTATGAAATCGCCATTTCTCCTCTTGGAATTGTTTTTCTGATATGCCATTTCTTCGAAATATTGCAGTCGCCTATTAATGTTTTCCAATTTGAAGTAATATCAAAGGGAAAACGATTTCTGTAGTTTGGATAAGTATTAATCATCCCCTGTAAAAAGTGCTGGTATTTGAAAACTTGATCTTAATTTTACCAAGGAGTTATGATCTGTTATAACTCCTTGGTTTTACCACTTAAAATGACATAAAACCGTGGCAAATTCCAACTGGAATAGATAGTAGGTATATGGTATGGGACATATGCCACCCACATTATCCAAATAGAACAAATTTAAAATGCCGTAGTTTCAGTGAAAAAAAAGAAAAACTTTTCCCGTTTGTCACAGTGACCTGTAAAACTTTGAAGGAAATTGGAAAAATACTTAATTCTCATCACTTATAGGTGGCTGTATGTGTAAATCAAGGTAAATTTTAATTTAGCATATCCTGAGTAATAAACATTCAGGGCGATAGCCATGCAGAGGCATTATTTCTAACCAGTTTTTAAGTAACTGCCTTTTGAAATAAAATGTTACCGTGTCTGTGCAGATTTCCAAAGAAAATTGAAGTGTAATGCATTAAAGGCTGTGCAAAATATAAAATTTCAACTTTCCAAAATACATCCTCATTTACTTCTGCAGAGGTAGATGGCTATTATTGATAGGATACATGTATCATGTATTTTCAAAACGGCCTGCTTTTTACTTTTGATCTATATCTCTGATAATATGCCATTGTAATATGAAGATTAAAATAATAAGGATAAGCAATGGACCTTACTGCAATGTTTCTCATCACTTTGACTTTTGAAAACTATTGATTTCGATGTCTTAATTTTATTTTGTAACTTTCATACACACAGAAAAAACATAGACTAAACATATAATAACACAGCTTCATGCTTATTTTATTTGCAACAAGTATATAGTTATTTACAACAGAAGCAATTTGAAGTTGACATCTTCAGCAATAAGATGGCAGCGACATTTTGTAGTTCCAATTGTTAACCAACATCACCAAGGGGGCTGAATTCCCAAGTTGAAAGTCTATTGAGTAGATAGATAAGTCTTGAGATCTGCTTTTTTTTTGCATGTAAACAACAAAAAGTGTACTCATAACTACTGTGTGCACAGAGTAACTAAATACCTCAGCTTTCTTTATCTAAAATGTTCCCATCAAAAATGTCCCAGGTGCTTAGCTATTGAATGTTCTGGTAGTATAGTAGTGTGCATCAGAAGTTAGTTGATAATGCTGCCTGGAATAATACCCTCTCCAATTCGCAGAAGTGCAGTTTAATCTTAGCAGTAGTTTAAAATGTTCATTCTGTTCATGTCATTCACTGCACGCAGACTCCTGTTTACAGGCACATTCCTGTCTTTTGTTGGTTTGTGATAATTTACCTGTGATAATTTACCTGAAAAAAAGAACTCCATGAGGAAATAAAAGATCTGGACATTTGTTTTATTTTGAATTTTCCAATGCTGTTTTCCTAATAGCAATATCACATCAATATGGCGCTATACTGGTGACAAATACTGTAAAAGCCAGAATGACAAGAAAATAAATTTTTCTGGAGAATCCTACAATCTAAATTACTTTGTAATTCTCAATTACCCAATTTTTCAAAGGCCTTAGTCTTTACCTACTGATTTGCCTGCAACACTAGGCTTTGGACATTTGATCTAGTATGTACAATACAACATCTCTAGGGCGTAATAATCTCTCAGCATCCTGGTCTGGGATATCTATACCTGAAAATGACATACAAAATTTTATTTAGACCCTGAAGTCTACAAAATCTACTTTTACTTTGACTATCATGTCGGCTACAAGTTGTTTCATCTAGATATAGTGTATAATATCCCTTCAGTTCTCATAAAGTTATGCTTCACCGATGAAAAAAAAAATGATTACAAGCCCTAAAAATTGTTACTTCCAAACTTTTAAACACATTTTAATATCATTAATATTGTGAATTTAAAAAATATGGTGTGACAAATGTGAGGTAGCAGACTGTGATTTTCAATTTTCCTTACCAAATTCCTCCGACATTGCCATCAATATCTCAATATGATCTAAGCTGTCCAAACCCAGATCACTTGCAAAATTTGACTCTAATGTAAGCTGAAGCATAAAGAGATGCATACACTCTTTAAAAATATGTGAACATACAATTAAGCAAGACAAATATTGTGACACTCCATTGTAATGTAACAATTCACGCATTATAAAAGAATATTCCCATCAATCTGTTTTTATTAACTTAAACTACTTCCATATCACAATTTTTTAAACTAAAAACAGTTAAAGAGGCAGATAACCATGAAAAAACTCAATTTGCTTCATGTCTCTATACCTTTTTTGCATCTATGAAATCAAAAGTGACCAACACTGCAGTTACTCTTTCTTCTATATTACGTTGTGGATCCTCCAGTTCAGTACTGTATTTGCGTTTACTTTGTGTTGTGGCCTACAATATACGAAAAAAAAAAAGTGCTGCTTCAATAATTAAGAGAAACTTAAAAGATTTCAACTTTCCTTATTTCTTTCTCCGTTTTCCCTTCTGCTAACCTTTTCATGGAATGTATGTAAAATGATGAAATACCACCAACTTCTAATAACAATAATAATAGTTTATTGTTATATTTATACATAAAAGTATAAAATGAAAATTAATACGATCTTTCAATAAAATAAAATAAATTGTGCTCATCAATCATTGTCTATAAGAACTTTTAGAGGTGTCCTTTTAAAGACATCCAAGATTTTTCCGCCAAATTATTTTCCTGGAGAAAAAAATAATTTCCTCCTATTCTAGCACGAAAATTCATGCGTTAGCACTCCTATTGACAATTCTGATATGTAGCACAGACAGTACTAACGCATGGATTTTCGTGCTACTCCTATTCATGAAATAAAAATTCGAACCATTTTGCACTTGGATTTTGAATTTAATAATTTATTTCTAAATCTTTCCAATAACATTTATAACACCATTCTCCTTCCTACCATCCATACATGCATACTAATAACCAATTAATCCAATTGTGATGACCGCAACTGTGTGCAGTTAACGTAATGAGTCGCTGGTCAGATCATACGACGAAGATGTATAGTACATGTAGTAACTCTGTTTGCCTGTGCTGAGGTCAATGGTGCATGCCTACCTGTGTGTGTTGTGTCAGAGCCGAAAAATGTCGCTCATGAGAACCTGGGCACTTGCAGTGAAGTTGGCAAGTTAATGCAGCAGCTCTAAATGCCAGGTGTCTGTTAAAAACCAAAGTTGTCGAGACAACACCGCGGAGATTCCTCGCGAGAGCAGCCATTTTGCTTAGTGGCATCCCAGAATGCAATTCTGCCGGTAATATAACAATCGCCAATCCTCGGCTGACTCCGCAAGCTCCAGTGCGGAGACATCCGAGTAGTTCCGAGTGAGTTCCGAGTGGACAGTCTCCAAACCGTTGCCTCGTTTTTTGGTCAATGAAATCGATGTTGCATACTGCTTATTTCTGCACCGTTTCATCTTTATGCAATAATTCTTGTAGAAAATGGGTTTGGAGATGTACGGCTTAAACAGAAAGTAGACAAAAACTTCATGAAAATTTTTAAGTGTTAGAGTTAGAGACATTAGTGTATAACTTTGGCATAGCAGGATATCACAAGAAAATCTCAAGTTGAGAACGTGTAAAACTTTCAAGCTCCATTTTGAGAAAGAAATATATCATGATATAATTCAAGATAAAGAAAAATGTAAAACCCTAACCAAATTTAGAATCAGCAGCCACAACTTTCACATTGAAACAGGTCGCCATGTCAAGGGTAAACCAATACCAGCTGAAGAAAGAAAATGCCAAAACTGCCACTCTGGAGTTATAGAGGATGAAGAGCACTTTTTAATTACCTGCCCCCTGTATGCAGAATATAGAAAAGAACTCTTTCAAACAGTACAAAGCGCCCATACATGCTTTACACATTTAAACAACAAAGACAAATTCTCCTTCATAATGAACAACCAAAATGAGACAGTGATTATATCTTTGGCCAAATGCCTTAACCTCGCTTTTGACGGGGGCGTGTCGATAGTCCGAAGGTTCTTTGGTCCGAAGGTTCATTGGTCCGAAAATTCGTAAATTTTTCATCAGATTTTCAACAAAAAGGTTCATTGGTCCGAAGGTTCATTAGTCCGAAAATTAAAGGTCCATTGGTCCGAAGGTTCATTAGTCCGAAGGTTCGTAAGTCCGAAGTTTCGATAGTCCGAAACATTTTAAGATGTTCTTAGGTTTTAAGAATTATAATTACAAACGGAATCTAAGGGTGCGTTCCCAACGAAACTATCATTCTACGTAGATTGATCCAACTCCACGAGGACTCTCACTGTATGCAATCAGATTAGCAATCCTGGAGCTGCTAGGGGGTGATTAACTTTCGTGTGAACTCAGCTTCTAGAATCTTTATCATTTCGTTTTGAGTGCGACCGAAACGCACGTGAAAATTATCCATATAGGTCGTATTGTTTCCGTGAACTACTCTTTACAATGTGGGGAAGTTTGGGGATATGCAATGGCTACCCTTTCCAACTCATGAACACCATACATGTTTCACATGAAATATTGAATAAAGATTGGAACGCATAAAATGAGAGGACGCCTATAATGACATTTAATCGAATGGCCTGTGCTATTAATTTTTGAATTGTATAAGAAACTGATAAAAGTGGTTTCACGCTCCATCAAGGCTACCTTTAAATGCACACTGAATATTTTCAAAAGAAAAAAACTGATGTCTCAATTACGAAATTTTTTGGATTGCGGGAGAGTCCCGTTTTTCTAGAGACCGATTGCGGTTCACGTCCACCCTGTACTCATGAATATCAAGCCAACAGTTTCGTAAAAAATCAGTGATAATCGGTTTTTCAAGACTGGATGAATAGGTCGGTGCAAGAAAAGCAGTTAACAGACAACTCCACCCTCCAGCGACCAATAACCGTACCACCAGCGTGAGCGTGGCGGTAGACATGGGCTTAATGCCGACCCATCTCGTACGGCCTCCGCCAGTTCCGCGTCATGGGGGATACAATTAACTGTTACTGTTTCTTCACCTAGACTAAGCCAGATGAGTTGCAGGGGAGAATGCCCTAATATGTTATTTCTGATGTTATTATTGTGAGGAAACGTTTTCAGAGTCATCTGTAAGTTGATAGGGAAAGTAAGTATTATTTGTGATTTCATTTATTTTTTATCTACTGTTTTACATTTCTTTTTTATTCAGGAGTTTCTGGGTGTATTTACCTTGATTATTTAATTTAAGCTCTTCGTATAATTATTTGTTTTCTCCATTTCTGTAATTATTTTATTTCTGCAACTGTCTTTATTCAGTTTTTAGTTCACCATACAATAGATCAATTAACTTCTACTCCCACCGTTTTGAATAGTGGTAAGCAGGTGTGCAATACAAAAATGTACTTGATATACCGCAGACACAAACCACATGTATGATATACTATGTATCTGTTATGGTGTAAGATAAATCAACATATATAAGTCACTGTGAGTTTGAAAAAATTTCTTGACATGCAACAGCAGCCTGTCTGGTATGAAAAAAAAAAGAAAATGTTGGTTATACAGACATCTCGTCGATTACAGAACTATACAAACGTAATTTCTTTTAACATATTCTTACATTACAAAAAAAACTTAAAGGGATAATAACTCTTCGTATGAGATCTATATTTTACAATAAAAACATTGTGAATGACTCATAGAAATAAAATATATTCTGATTTACCACAAAAACGGCAGTTATAGCTATTTTTCTGATATTTGAGCTTGTCTTTAGACCATGTGACCTCCATTGATGGCTATACTCTGTTAAAATCTCTTAAGAGATTAAAAAAAAAAAAAAACAATCTTTTTAGAAAAAAACCAGGGACTAACTTTGAATGTAAAAATAGATTCATTAACCATTGGTAAGTATGGGAAAATTGTTGTTTACTCCAGAAAAATTCATTTTTTTGGCTGAAACGAAGAGTTATTATCCCTTTAACAGTCAGTTAAAGCTCTGCTCTGATTAACGTCTCATGGTAACTTGTCGTCATAGAAAAATACTGTTACAACAGAGATATCAATCATATTGTGACCACACTGAATATGAATATCCTTTCATTTTATGTGGCCTTATCACACTGTCCCCAGGAAAAAAGTTCATAATCCGTATTTCTTTATTAGGTTTCGCCTTTCAGATAAATGCGTCTAGTGATAAAGTGCTGTGCGAAAGAACCGCCCCTTTTGCTGGGAAAAGGTCCACTCTGGGTAAAATTTAATCTAGGTACATGAAGTTTTTATGGGAAAAGGTCCACTTTTTCAGAAAAAGAACCCCCCTTTTGAAATTGCTGGCTACGGGCCTGTAATCTGTCACCCTTGTAGAGGGTATAGGGGACGCACGATCCTAAAATTCGATCGTCCGGAATCTATAGTTCCCTTACGGGCATTGAGCGGTGAACCTGCAGTGATCGTGACGATAATTGAACTTGTTGTTGGTCTTAGTTTTCCCCATTTAGTTTTAGGAGGAATGAAAATTGGGAAGAATATAAGAAACAGCATAGGCCTACTCTACCCCCTACCAAGGTTACAGATTTTTCACTAGATATTCATGTATGTGTCTCTGGCTAATTCTTGACAGAAAAGTGCACGTAATTTATCAACGGTCCTGGTATTTATCTACGGCCCTGACCTACTCCCCAAATTTTCCTTTCAGTCTAATGTGGCTACGCAAGCGTCTTTCATGATTTTTAGTCACTTTATTACTACATGCAATGGCGGATTTAGAGGGGGGGGGGGGGGGGGGACAGGGGGGTCCTCTCTTGCAATTAGAATTTTTGAGTAGTTGAATCATAGCTAAACCGTGCCGCTCGCCCTCTAAGACACCAAATGACACCAACAATTTTCGGGGCCCTTTAGCGGGCCCCAGATCCTACGCCAAGGGAGGTGGGGGCTTGGCATCCGCGGACCCCCCTTCAAATAATCTTGGATCCGCCCCTGTACATGTAATACACTATACAGTACACTTATACNTTTGACATTAACACGCGCTGCTTAATGGCAAAAGCAGTAACATCGGCCTAGGTAATTCTTCACGACGCGTTCCCAATGAAACTACCGTACTAGGCAGAATAGGTTCTGGTAGACAGATCGATCCAACTCGGCAGGATTTTCGATGAATGCAATCTGATTAACACTACTCTTCTTGTTTCTAGCGTACGCGCATAATAAACAGCTTTTATGCATTGTACTGAGCGCAGGGATAAAGAGTTGATCTTTTCATCTATAGCATTCATCAAGAATCCCCGCCGAATTGAATCGATATACTTAATTAATACGCACCCTTAGACCGCATTCAGATTCACACACCGTACAAGCTGGGTCGACCCAATTCTGCCGGGGTTTCTCGCTATTTAAAGCACAACCATCTTGATCAGCTTAACTGTTTGACACCCCTCCCTAAGCAGCTGGGGGTAATTAACCGTGAGAGTATTAAGCTCTTTCCATTGATTGTACTTTAGCATGAATCTGCCGTAAAATTGAACCGACCCAGCTAGTGCGATGCGTTAATCTGAATGCGCCCCTATTTTCATCTTATTGCATGGCTATTCAAAAGACATCGAAAGGCTAACTCCAGAGTATAATTCAATTTTGTCTTACAGGGTGTCCCAAATATGTATCTGTAGAATATCTTTTTACAACCAAATGCATTTTACAACCGGTCTGTATCCACCCCAGAGACAGCCCCAACCTAAAAGCACCAAACTTAGGGCGCATTTCCATAGATTTTAGATCGATCTATCCCCGTCTCACTAGATTACTGTCAGATAATCCGGCTTAAATGTCCGTCCCGCCTACTACAATCTGTAAGGCTATTTAGCGTGAACCCCCAAGGAGTTAGGTCGATCCAGTTGGATCGATCTAATCTCTGAGAATGGGGTCTTAGAGAGGGCCCATTCACATTCCTGATAACACATTAATCAATCCCCAAAGTTTAAGGGAGCATTCAGATTCATACACTTTACCAGCTGGATCGATCCAACTCTGCGGGGATTCTCGCTTAAATACAGCCATTGTTATAAACTTGATTGTCTGACATGCCCCTCTCGAGCAGTTAAGGGCTAATTACCTTTTGTATGTGCTCAAGAGGGGCGTGTCAGACAATTGAGCTGGTTACATTGACTACACTTTACCAAGAGTTGGATCGATCCAGTTGGTACGTTGTTTGCATCTCAATGCCCCTTCCTCCGTCCTCACTGGCCAGGGCGCACTATAGTTAATTACCCTCTCACAATTTTTAGTAGCCGGC